CAGTAAATAATGTCATTAGTTTTACCATCAGTTCAAGCCCGAAAGGGGAACAGACACAGTAATGATGCAGTACACGAGCAGCGGTTAAGACAGCTGACTCTACTGGGATGTGACGCTGTCTCTCTCTCTCACACACACACACACACACAAAGAATATCTCTTTGGTTTTGAGACTTTAGTCTTTGCAACTTCAGGGATCTTATCTATGCACAATCAGCTTGTAACACTCCAAAGAGAAAGGAAAACTTGAAATTGTATCATATGACCCCTTTCACCGAATTGATTCTCCCAGCCAAAGACAGGGGAAGCAGTAACCAGCACTCTAAATCTTTCTCCATTTGGAGTAGCGAATGAGCAAAGTTAAATTTAAAGAGCTCTTTAAATTTATCCATGATGGAAACTCCAAGATACGTAAATCTATGCTGTGCAATCCTAAATGTTATGTAACGGGTAGTTCCTAGCTGCAGAATGTAGTGGAAAAATCTCGCTCTTGCTCAGATTTAACTTATAATCAGCCCAAATGACTTTGTCAAAGCAAAATTGACACTGCAACTAACTAAAATATTCTTTACTGAATCAATGCTCAACTAAACCAAATCAGAATCAAACTGGGTCCTTGCCAAATCAAATGGATAAAATGAGTCGTTCACAAGCTACTGTCTTCACTGACAAGCGGTTTGCAAGTTTCGTTTCTTACAATGGATATAGGTAAATATCCACCTCATCCAACCCTTTCTGTTTTCGGTCTATAAAGTTTCCTGTTACAGTGTGAAAAACCCCTGGGATTCAGTACGTGAGTTCAGTGTCTGGATGAATCAAACTGAATCACGAATAATTTCAGACCTTATTGCATAACCATTTAATCAATTAGATCAAACAATCATTCATTTACAAATCTGGAATCACTAGTTCTGATTCTAAAGAGCAGAAAACACAAGAGATAACTGCTGAAATTCTATAAGGGAAAATGATTCACAGGTTGGTATACAAGAAAATCTCCACCTTCAGACAAAGATGTATCAGTATTTCATTGGGGCTCGTGCCCCAGTTAAAAGGGTCTAGCGACACCTCTGGTGTTGAAAATGTCAGGATCTAAGCAGTTCCCTTTCATGGGAACTTCGAACTGCGTCCAGGGAACGAGACACTGCGTCCTCTAGGTTTCTTGCCATGCTGCGTCCGCAGCTTCAAGCTTCAGACGAAGAAGTGCATGATGTGTGCTCCCGGCGCCCATTTATACTATAGTTGCACCGGTAGTGACGTCATGGCTGTCGCTGTCCAACGAGTTGGTGTTTTTTCAATGTATGCTTCAGACACGGGTCACGATGAGGCGTTCCCCATAGCGACCCCTAGAGGACGCAGTGTCTCGTTCCCTACTCAGGGAACCATGGTTACATAAGTAACCTGAGACGTTCTTCAGTGACATCAAGCTGCACAGTCACATGACCCGGGCTTTGATCCCCAGGCTGACAGAGAGAAAGTGTACGTGTGTGTACACAATTCCTGTCTTTGTCCCAGGACAGTACCAGGAGGGAACTGTCACCTCTCACATACTTTTGACTGTGCTATTATAGATAGCAAACCGCTGTAACTAGGGCTGGGCAATATGGCCAAAAAATGATCTTGATATTTTTTTTCATATCAGTCGATATCGATAATTACCACAATAAATGTAAATTTTTTATTTCTTTCAAGTTTAATGGCAGATTTTTTTAAATTTAATAATCCAGAACATGAGGATTCACATGGTCACGCACCTGCTGCGCTTCTGCGAGCGGAGGAAAACTGAGCAGAAAAACATAATAAAGCTAGGCTATATATATATAACGAATAAATAGGCCTATACGAGAAATATATCTTTACTTAAATAATAAATTAAGAAAATGAAAGAAAAACTGTAACAAGTAGCCTAGTATGCAGAGTTTCGGTTCATTTTTGTGCTGCGCGAAAGGAAACCAGACGGCAGAAAGCGGCATCCTTTTTTTCTTTAGGCTTATTTTACAAAAGCACAAAGATTTGTTTTTATTGTGAATGTACACAAATTAGGGATGTAACGGTATGAAAATTTCTTATCACGATTATAGTGACCAAAATAATCACGGTTATCAGTATTATTACGGTATTGTTAAAATGTGCTGGAAATGTTCAAAAAGTACTGACACACAAATCATTTCACCAAGTTTTACATTTCAAATCAACAAACAACAAATAAAATGAGTTTTTGTTTGCATAACTAAAACAATAACATTGCCAATGATGTCCAGATTTTAAATGACAACTTGACTGACAACATTTTATCTAATAGCATGTTCAAATATCTAATGTAAATGTTCAAATAAAGCTTTGAAAAGGTTTCATAAATGGTAAACCTCACATTTCAGCTTTTAAATAAAGAAAAAGGTCAGCTTACATACATCTACACACCTTTCATCTTTTTAAGACTAAAACAAAAGATTGATTCATTGTTATTCTTAATAAAAAAGCATAACAACAATAAACAGTAAGACCGAGTCACGCGGTTTCGTTATGCTTTCAGTTTCGTTTGCCGTTTGAGGTTTCTCACATGCAACAGAAATGCAGCGCTTATGAGTTAAACAATAACTAAAATAGCCTAGCTATGTTTACAGTGTTTATTACAATGCTTATAAACATTTCGCGTCGGCATTAGGCCTATTTCTGAATGAAATAATAAAATGCGACTTATACGCGACTTATGTTTTTTTTTTCTCTAAAAAAACACATTTTTTATACGCGTAGCGTATTTTAACCATGCAGCAAATCTTTTAAAATATTTTGATAAATTACTGAAAAAAAAATTAAAATAAATTACGTTTTAAACTGTTTAACTGATTGTATTAATCGGTCAAAATTCTATACGGTTGGTTAACGGTTAACCGGTTAAAATGAACATCCCTAAATGTCTAAATACATTTATAAATCCATAAACGCTATAGCTTATTCACAAAAAAATGCTGTAATTATGTTCCATTACTCCTCCTTCAATATATTTAATAATGTCTACATTAATAATATAATAAAATTCGACACGAATACCCACATTTCTGACTATAGGGTTTCTAGGAATTTGTATGAAAAACAGTAATCTAAATACATTTAGTAAAAATGCTCCTTTAATACATTTAATACATGTCTACATTAATAATGAAATTCAATACGAATACCCACATTTCTGACACAATACCATGGTGCTGTTAGTGTTACTGGAGTAAATCTATGGTAAATGATGGCGATTTGTAGATTAAAAAGTCTTCTGACTGTATCGTTGCGCACAGTGTTTCTGCTGCTTGTCCGCGCTGTTTCATCTGCGTGTAAACAGAGTTATTTGTGTTCCTCACTGAATTCAAGAGCTTCACACTAGATCTCACAGCGCTGTTCAGTGCTGCGTCAGCGAGACTCATCAGCGAGTGAATGCAT